ATTAGAAAATTAAGATTTGATAAAAAAGATAATATTATAGCTTTATAAAAAAATAATATAAAAATTATAGAAATTACAAAAAAAAGAAAAATATTGAATAGTACTATTTGATTATTTATTAAAAAATATAAATAAAATAAATATTATAAAAAATTTATTATATTTTGATTGTTATTCTGTAATCATATAATAATATAAGCAATTATTTATTTATAATAAAATAAAAAATAAATATGTTTTATTATATTAATTAGTTATTAAAACTAGTCTTGAAGTTTCAAAAACAACAGTTTGTAATTATTTTTATAAAAGTGAAATTGATTCTTATATTATAATTAAAAAGCCATATATTTCAAAAAAAAATTAAAAAAAATAAATGAATTGATATAAAGAATATACTAATTGAAATATTGTACCTGAATAGAACAGTATTATTTGGGTTAATGAATCTAATATAAAAATAGGTCAAAGTTTCCAGTGTGAATTAATATAGTAAAAATTTAATAAGTGATATAATTTTAATTGCTTAAAATTTATTTTCAAGAATGATTAATTATAATTTGAAATTATTTTATAGGAAATTAACTAGAACTATTAGAATTTGTGGAAAAAAAAACTTAAATTTTGATAATTATATTGAAATTATTTAAAATAACCTTAAATAATTTTAAATTACTTTAGAAAATAAATGAGATATTACTTTTATTTATCAAAATAATAATGCAAAAATTTCCACAAGCAAAAAAACTTATATGTAAATAAAAAGAAAAGAATAATATTGAATCCTTATCATGACCAGCTCAATCATCAGATCTCAACCCTTTGAAGAATCTTTGAAAAATTCTTAAAGATTGAACTCAATGATGCAAGTTATTTTTAACAACAATATTACAACTTAAGGCAGCATTACGAGAAGAGTAAGAAAAATTAGAATTCGATATTTTGTCTAATTTAGTTAAAGGTATGCCAAGGCGGGTTAAAATGGTAATTAAATCAAAAGGGGGGTATATTAAATATTAAAGTTAAAATTTTTTATTTTTATTTTACATGTTTATTAAATAGAATGATAAAGAAAAATATTAAGTTGAAAAAAAAATATTAAATACAATTTAATAAAAAAAGAAAGCAATCTTGCAAATCGCGAATACTTTTTTGACCTACTGTACATGTACTTTGAATAAAAATCGAAAAAGTGTTAAGCATTGTGCTTACAAAATAGTGTTAAAGTGTTATGTTTGGGAATAGTGTTTATATAAATAGAAGAAAAGAAAAAAATTTAACTATTTTTCATTGGCTCTGATCGTTCTAATTCTTCCATCGTGTATATGCTAGTCATAAAATATGCCCATTTAAATTATTGAAACCTGAAAATCCTCTAATTAAGCGTATTCTAAAACTAACATAATAACTGTGATTAAACACAAAGTAAAGTCTCTAACGAGCATTCATTTAAATATAAAATACTTTGGTTAAATAGAAAGAAAGAAAAAACTGTCATCAAGTTTATTGTTGTTATTATTTTATTAAGCACAAAAGATTTTTGACGCCAATACAACCTTTTAAAGTAACGTATTTCTTATTACCTTTTCAAAAACAATAAAAATATTTCACTTGACACATACTTCTATTCGATATAATTTTTTGTGCACATATTTTCCGATCCGTTGATGATTTCATTAGGTCGGCCATCATGAATTAAAAGATATTAGAAAGACGTAAGCACTTTAACTAGCTTAGATGTGTATTCACCAAGGTTTTTCGTCGATATAATCACGTGGTCAATTAAGTATAGTGAAATGAATATAACATCTTTTATCAAAAATCAAAAAACGTCAGAATGCAAGAGCATCAGTATTCCTCTTTTTATACTGTATATAAACCCTGAGATATTCTCATTAACTCTATGAAGTGCCCAAGAAGTAGTAATTATTTCATTTTTCTACATAGATGAATTCAAGGTACAGTATATTTATTAATTAATAAAGTTTCTAAATTAATCTTTAGAAACGGTTTTTTAATAACAACTTACTTTATAACAAAACTTTTTTTCTATATACTGTTTAGATGTTTATTTAAACGAATAAATTAAACAAAAACCAATTTTAATAATAGCTCGTATTCGTCAAACATTCAATGTTTAATTTTTGTCAAAAATATTATAACGTCTAAGATGGAATTAAATATTCCCTAATTGAAATTTTTTGTTTCGTATCTATCGATAATTATTTATTGATGATTTTAATCAATGTTTATATATATCCCTAGAGATTTGCCCAGGTGACACCAAAAATCTTTGCTGATGATATCATTGAGACGAAGCCCAAACAGTGACATGGCCCGGTAGTAAACACTACATGGAACCGGTCCTACATACGAGGCTGTGATCTATTTCTACGGATTATAAAAAGAACGAATCGCACGTTTTCATATGTTTGCTTAAGTCAATTGTTGATGGTGCAATCTTCTATTTTGTAAATAATGAACCTTAAACCCATTCACTAGTATATATCAGGATATGATATTGCAACATCGACAGCTTAGGTATCGCAATTCTTGTGCAATTTAACACGGTAACAAGTCGGCCCTTAAAAAGTTATATATAAACTTAATGTTTAAACACATCAGTATGTATATCGATATTTTTTAAGCGGTTACGCTCAGTCCTATATATGGCTAATCGACATTCATATCAATCGTTAGAAGACGGTGTTCTTTACGTTGAAAATGATAACATAAAAAAAACATTAGGTGTATTTTTCCGTAAATTAAAAAGTTTAGGATGGATTTTGGCGGGAATTATTTTTATGATTTCGACCATTTTATTAGGATTCATGACGTATAAAGGTACGGCCAATAAGTTTGTAATGCAATACCATCTATTATTACACATTTAACAACTTAACTACATCGCAACCCCTCAGAATCTGGTAACATAATCACGGATCCAGATTTGATTGTTGCGTCGAGCGGAGCTGTCGCTTCTGAACTAATCATTTGCTCGCAATTCGGTGTTGATGGTAAGCACTGGACGATCATTTCTTCCTGGTCGAAAAGCATGTCTCAACCAAATTGAATCTTGATAGTTTTAAAGGAAGGAGGAAATGCCGTTGACGCAGCGATTGCAAGTATGCTTTGTGTTGGTACGATCAACGCTTTTTCGGCGGGAATCGGAGGGTAAATCCAATATTCTTTTAAATAATAATAATAATAATATTATTATTATTATTATTACTAATGCTAATTAAAATTTCAGTGGAGGATTTATGCTGGTCAGACTACCAAACGGAACTTCCGAAGTAATAGATTTTCGGGAAACTGCGCCAGGCGCAGCAACCGAAGACATGTTTGTCCGTGACAGTAAGCTAGCAAGAATTGGTGGATTAAGCATCGGTATCCCGTATGTACCATTAATGCTAGTTAAATGTAAAATTTAAATTTTATCGACTCCTCTACTTTTTGTAGTGGCGAAGTAGCTGGAATGAAACTCGCGCATGAAAAGTGAGAAATATTTTGTTTTAATGTTGTAACGAGTTATTTTCTGTGCAAGATTAATGTCTAACCTTTCTCACCATCATTGTCAGATACGGGAAATTATCTTGGAAACGACTTTTCGAACCGTCGATAAACATCAGTCGCGACGGATTTCCTGTGCCTCCAGAACTAGGAATTCGCTTAGAGGTGATTTTTAATAACTAAACTTTTTTTGCATCTTTACGCACAATTATTCACAAAAAATATTTTCTATCAACCAACAATGTAGATGTTCCGTCATGTGATAATAAGTAATCCTCAACTTGCCGCCATATACGCACCAAATGGCGATGTTTTAAAACAAGGAGAAATTTTATACCGAACAAATTATTCCATAACTCTGGAGAAAATTGCCGATGACTACACCGACTTTTATAATGTACGTGTTATCGCGGAAATTTTTTGAGTGCTATCAGATTTAATCTTTAATTTGTCGCCAAATAGGGCTCCATCGCAAGATCATTAGTAAAGACGATTAAAGCTTCTGGTGGCTTAATGACCTTAGAGGATCTCGCTGATTATCGTCCTGTACTGCGCGAGCCCGTTGTCGGTTATTATCACGGACGAAAGGTAATGTAGACCTATTAAAAATTCCATAAAACAAAATACTGATGTGCAATCGTACTACATTAGGTAATAACGACACCCGAACCTGCAAGTGGTGCAATATTAATCTTCATGTTAAATATATTGGAAGGGTATGAGTTAAACAAGAGTAGTCTTACTGGAATCAATTTACATAGGTATTGACTGGTTATATATGAACACCCGATAATAAGAAAATTACTTATTCCATTTCCGGAATTGCAGACTTGTCGAGACACTCAAGTGTAAGATTTCGTTCAAAAATAAGTAAATATGGTAATGCACATTGGTAAATGATTATGAATTTCCTTCAACGAAATTAGTCGGTTTTGCACGACGAACAGAATTGGGCGATGCTGCGTTTGTAAGTGCTAATTTTGGTACTGTGTAACGACAATGGTTACTCTGACTAACTACGTGTTCTCTCGAAAGTTTGAAAACAAAACCGCACACGAACTACGCATCTTGGATATAATCTCCAAGAAATACGCAAGCATAGTGAGGAAGAATATAACAGACGTAAGTGGCGCTCATAACCACTATACTTAAGGAATCATATCCTTTTAAATAAGAAGGCATTTAATCTGTACAGGACAGAACGCACGAAACAGAATATTATAATCCGGTCTACGCAGAAACGAATGATCATGGAACAACACATCTTTCCACTGTCGACAAAGATGACATGGCTGTGGCTTTTACTTCAACCGTAAGTTAACTAGGTCTGTTTGATCCGTACATTTAACTAACATTAACGTATATGTTTGCGAGTAGATAAATCGAATTTGGGGTTCACAGGTAGTGGATCCCAACACCGGAATAATACTCAACGACCAATTGGATGATTTCTCGATACCCGGCGGACCCGATATTTTTGGAATGTTCCCTTCGCCTTATAACTTCATTGGTAGGCTTTCCTTTTACTTGGTTTACTTTTGAAGAAGAGTTCATATTTTAATTTAATTTAGCACCTGGGAAGAAACCATTATCGTCAACGGTACCAACAATAATCGAGAAAGATGGTAAATTTGAGATGACTCTAGGAGGTAGCGGTGGCACTAAAATACTTACAGCCGTGCTGGAAGTAAGAAATATACTATCAGTAGTATTCGTTATAGAATGCTTTTTATCTATAACGTTGTCGTTTTTAAAAAATTTATTTATTTATTTATTCACTTAGGTAATATTGGATGTTTTCGATTTCGACATGGACGTATTACAAGCAATCAAAAAATCTAGAATTCATCAACAGTTGAAGCCCGAAATTGTAAGACATTCTTTTACTTTGATTCTTGGTTTTTTTACGTGAATGTTTTATGCATTATTTATTGTTATTTTTTTTTTATGTATAGGCATTCGTAGAATCAGGATTTCCATTCGAACTTTTGAATGACTTGGTGGATATTGGGCATATTGTAAGTTTTTTTGTGTTATTCCGTTTTATTAACCCATTATTTTTCTGTCACCACTTTGACTTGTTTATACTCTCTCTTTCCCTTATATCATCAAGATACAAATAGCAAATATCAACAACAGAATGTTCTCATGTATGGTACAAGCCGTTAGGAAATTCGAGAATGGAACTATTCATGGTAATTTTGGATTTATTCAGCAGTCTTTCATCGAGACATTCACATTACGTGCTAACTAAGTCGACTTTCTATTGGATTGCACTCATGATAAATTAATTTAGCCGCGAGTGACCCTAGAAAACTTGGACGCGCCGCAGGATATTAGTAAACACTCAAATTTAAATTGTTTTAATATTTAAGACCTGAAAATAATGAGTTAATATTGCGAAGGATTAACATACTCTATTTATATGCATTAAAATAACTGTTGATCAACTTAACCAATCGTATACTATTAACAAAAGGAAAATGGATATTATAAATAAATTGCATACTTGCAGTGAGCATAATAACATTAATGATAAATGCTCATATACTGTATATCACACTTTTATTTATTGTTTACATTTGATATAAAAAGTCAAGAGTTATTTTTAAAAAGTAATAATATCTAATTATAACATATTTTAAATTAATTAAGTTTGAATTAAACAATATTTATATTTTTTAAAAACTATTTGTTGAATTTTGATAATAATGCAAAATTTTCTTAAATTTGGTTTAACAATAAAATAGAACATAAACATTAAAACATATAAAAATTTAAATATTTAGTAACAAATAAATTAATCATATAATACGATATATTATGAGATATATTATTTCAAGTTATCAAATAATTAATATTGTAAAAAATTTTAATTATTTAAATATAAATATAAATAAATAAAAAAATTATATACTGTATATAATTAAATTTTTAATATATAAAATGATATAAAAATTTTTTTGTTTTATTGATTAATATATTGATTTTATTTAATTTTTTAATTTTAATTAAAATTTTACTATTATTGATATTATTATTTTAATTATTAAAAAAAATTTATTTTTTTTATTTAAAATTAAACTTTATTAATGAAAATCAAACTATTTTATAATCAAATTAATTAAAATTTAATAACATAACAATTGATTTATAATAATTGATTTGTTTCATTTAATTAATTTAAAAAATAATAATAAAATAATAATGACAATAATAATGACAATAATAAAATAATAATGACAATAATAAAATAATAATAATGACAATAATAAAATAATAATGACAATAATAAAATAATAATAATGACAATAATAAATAATAATAATGACAATAATAAAATAATAATAATGACAATAATAAATAATAATAATGACAATAATAAATAATAATAAAATCGGAATCCATCCCGCATATCTCCCTTTCATCCCAGCCTAACTTCTCGGATTTTATACCCACGGAGAATCGCGCTCTATTACTTAAGCGGCCCAGACGATCAGAAAGCGATCCAGACGACTCAGATTACTTAAGCGATCCAGATAAGCTTTTGACCACCATATGTAGACCATAATATGTAAATCACAAAAAAAAAATCACGTTTTTATTGTTTTCTCCATTCCTAAGAAGAAAAAGACTTTAATAAAATATTAAATTATAAATAAAAAGAAATTATAAATACCGGTTCACATTTGAAACATCTAAAAAAGGCTCGTGATGAGACGTGTGATTGTTAAGAGAATCGAAATTATCTGCGATCGATGGTTCCGAACCAATATTTCTTAAATCCGAAGGAATACTTGGTAAATTAGCATTTTCTGATGCTTCGGGTGTCATGGGAATGTTCCTAAAAGAGAAAGTATATATAAAAAGGATAAAGTAATTACTAGAAAAAAAGAAATATAGTTACGGATTCACGAGTGAGTCATCTGGGCAAGATACAAAACGAAAGGAATCATTTTCAAGAAAATAACATGGATGAGGGACAACGAGACCATTTTCCCTAATGAAATCTTCAAGCTGTTTAATACGCATTAAATTTTGCCTATCTGCCATTTTCTTCTTTTCACGTTTTTGCTTTAAATCTCCTTTCTTTCTTGAATAGTAATCTCTGTTGTTTCTTTGTTTAGCCTTACTCCTAGCATTAGAAACTTTGGAACCGCTTTCTGTGTTACTCACTACTGGATGAAAAGACATTTCAACGTTAGAAGTCATTTTTCAGAGAAAAAATCCGTAGTTATAGCGAAAACTACATCGAGGTCTTAAATAATTTATTAGATCAATAAAAGAACTACTGGTTAAAATTATGAATTCGTCTGAATTCAGGAAAATTACATACTATAACATCTTGTGGAACATAAAAGCTATTCATCTGAATTAAGCTGTATAACAAAAAATTTTGTTACACGAAAGTTAAGAATGTAAGATACGCGTCTAGTAATCGCACGATTTGGAGACATAAGTATATGATATAATAAAAATTTTTTAAAAAGATGCTGCAAAAATTCTTCAAAATGGTTTGAAAAACTATTTCTTTGTTTCGATAACTGCTTGAGGCAAATGATTAATGTGAATGTGGTGGGTTATCATATTTTATCTCTGCAGTGTCTTCCACTTTATTTCCTTTTAGTTTCGTGTGTATAGGAGGACCAAGAACCAATCTATTATCTTCGAAGTGGTTAACCAACAGGTGCATTGGGGAGGGTTAGCCCATTATCTTTTATAAATTTTTCGAGCTGCTTAATACGAGCATGGATTAAACGACGTCTGAACAGGATTTTACTTCTATCACAAAAATATGATTCTTCATTCTGTTTGTACTGAAGACAAGATTCATTACGTTTTAGCCTCTGTCTTAAGTTCGACATGTTGGTCATATTTTTTTTTACTCGGAAGAGAAATTCGTAGTTGGAAACCTTTTATCTTAACGATTTTACTGATTACTGAATCAAGAACTCCATAAAGGGAAATCACTGAATTCAGGAATTTCTAGTTAATAAATTTTTCGAGCTGCTTAATACGAGCAGGATTTTATTTATATATCACTCTTCATTTTGTTTGTACTGAAGACACAACTCATTACGTTTTAGCCTCTGTTTTAAGTTCGACATGTTGGTCATATTTTTTTTTTTACTCGGGAGAGAAATTCGTAGTTGGAATGACCTTTTATCTTTAACTGATTTTACTGATTACTGAATTAAGATATCCATAAAGGGAAATCACTGAATTCAGGAATTTCTATAGTTAGTAATAATGATAATCTTTCATTTATACGCATGACTTGCGAAAATTATTGTGCGTCTGAGCACACCAATAAAATGAATTTATTTTAATTAGGATACTTTTATTAAGGGACTCCGTCCCACCAACTTAATGCAACATATTCAGATCCAGACATGCTGAAATTCCCAGCAAGGTTTAAACCTAGTGTCTTACATACCGTGAGTGCGAAAGCATCCTGTAAGTGAAACTGATATCTACTTGATGGTTTTCCATCTACAAGAAACGTGCCTGATTCTCTTTTGATTACAATATCAATAATACCTCCTATCACGCTAAATGCCACTTTCACTTCCGTAGGGACAGGATTAACATCGGTCACAACTCCAATAGTTCCATTGCACACACATTTTTTTTCATTAAATCATTTTTGAGGTACATAACACGGGCACCTTGTTGAGACGCGAGTAAACAGGAAGATTTGTTTTTGGTTTAAATAATTTTTGTGAATCATCTGGATTATAACAGTGTCCATTTATATATAGTCAATTGTGATGCTAATAAAGAATTTGTTTTCATTTACAGGATGTAGGTTGCAAATAGAAGGATTGATACGATCAACAGTTTGCTTATAACCAACGATGTTTGTAATATTGAGTATTGCATCAAGAGATCGGTTATGGTTGTAATTCATAGCTTTTTGATATAAGAGCTTCCATGTTCACAAAGAAATCTAACCCAGTCTAATTTCTTGTAACATATTGTAGTATTTTATATCATGGTGCTGTCGCCTTGGATACTTTAAAATAATGGATAGAACAGATTAACGATGGACAGGTAATCCAGATACAGAAGGAAGTTGACCAAGACCACCAACTATTATAATATTAAAACATATCAAAGATAAATGAAAAAAAAATCAGATACCATTGATATCTTGTCAATAATTAAATGCTAAAGATTGAAAACCTCCTAATGTTTCATTAATGATAAAGCTAGAATGTATAGTTTCTTCATCAATATTCTGTGCTGTAACTCCAGTAAGTAGTAGCATTTGTTTGCAAATATATAGGTTATATAGGTTCTTATATAATAAGAAGAAAGGACTTATCTTTTTCAACAAAACCAGTAATAAAAAAGTAGGAATACTTGTATTTTTGATGAATTAGACCTAATATATTTCAAATAATTGAAATTATTGTCCGAAGGACACTCTATTGTACAGCCATAGTGATCCGGATGTGTGTGTACCTTCCGATCACGTGATACATAGGTATCACGACAAAAATCTTTGGCATGATAGCGATCGATAGTTATGGTAATGTGATGAGTGCGGGAAACTATACGATCGTATATTTACTGTATAAGCTGATTTAAACGATAGATGATGAAGAGTCACCAAGAAATGTATGAATAGGGGATGTTATTGCATGCGTTAGCGATAGTCCTTCGGACTTTAAATGGTTCCCATTTATCTAGTATTAATTAATTCTTTGGAAAATCCAATATACTAATTTGTAATAGGATTGAGAATTCAAGTGTAGGAAATAAAGCTGTATATTAACAAAATCTGACATAGAAATAGGTATTACAGACTAGATAACGGAAACCATTGGTGTATCCAAAGCGAAGGGTTAAATTATATCAATTTTTTTGACAGCAACTAATAATTATTTTAATGTCATTATAATTGCAATCTTAATAAATTAAATAATTCGATCACGTAACCAACTAACCTTTTGTTATTGACCAAGTAATACCGTATAATAAGTTTTCACTTGCATATTTTCATATGTGTATTTGTTAAAAAAATTCGAAATAAAAGTGGACTAACTAATATTATCATACATATTTTTAAAAACTTTAATTTACGCTTCTCTGGCAGATAAGACATGTCAGGTTTAATGTAGAATGGTAATCTTATGTTATGTTTCAGTGTGAACAGATAAGATGTGTCTGGTTTGATACTGTAGAAAATTTATGCATTAAAAAAAATTATATGTACAGACAAATTATTATTATTATTTATTTTATTATTATAATTTTAGACTTGTGAATTACAAGGTTTACAATATCAATAACATGATATACATCTCTCTTTACTAGAAAGAGTTAAATGCAAAGCTTACAATTGCAGCCCATCTCCTATATTCCTTAATATCATCAAAGAATATAGAAAAAAGAATTTCAAAATCTATATTATATCTTGAGTGGCATCTAGCTACCTAGAGATAATGATTATCTAATTACATAAAAGCACTGCAGTTACCATATACAGATTTGTCTTCAAGTCATAATTAGGATTGGCATATTTACTTTTCAAATGTGATTTGATATACAGCAGACAAAAAATAATGTTTTGCTTTAAATTTCAATAGAATAACTTATTCAAATATCTAGATAACTATTATTTCAGTTAAGATATTATTAGTAAAGATTGATTTTTCATCTGACTACTTAATATTTAATTTAATCTTTTTTACTTTTTTAAGATTGTAGCAGATTAATCAAGCCTATAGCAAATAAGAAAAAAAATAGCTACTTTTCATAAAAAGCTTTGTATACAAAGTTATACTATTTAAATATTTGAATAAGATTCAACTTAAATATAAAGTAAAAGAAAATAAAAAACATGTTTAAACATATAATAATAATTTATTAAAAAGAATGTTTAAATATAATGAAATTAAAATTTTTTATAAATATTATTATCTAATCTTATACAATATATTTATATTGTTATTAATTCATATTAAATATAACAATCCTAAGTTTAATCCAAGATTTTACAATACTCTTCGATAAATCAATCTATTACTTCACTTTTTCAAAAGTTTACTAATCAACATTTACAGTTAAACAGTAGTATTAAATATTGCAAAAAAATTCTAAACATTATCAAAACCTATATAATTTGTGAAAGTTTTTCAGTTCTAAAAATATTTGGATACACTCACAAACTTCATGACTTCAAAGTTATTAACAAATCCAATAAAAAAATAAAAAAGCTCAAAGTTAACAAATATAATAATCTCATTGTTTTTAGAATCAAGCTATTCTTAGAAATACTTTCCATAAGAAAAAATCTTCACAAATTATATCCAAATCAATATCCAAATCAATATTCAAATCAATACTATTTCAGATATAATTTATGCATCTAAGACATCTAACATGTCTTTAAATATTAATTAACATCAAAAAATATTAGTCAATTTATTAATATCATCAATAATATTTTCATCTTAATAACAATTACAATTAATCTCATATGCTTAACAATTAACAAAACTAATATACAATATTACCAACAATATTTTTTCCACAATCAACTTTTTTAATTGGATTGAAGCATTAACTGAAACTCTAATTCATTTATACAAATTAATTTGAATATTCCACTGTGTCATAACAAATATCTTTTTTTTTTTTATTGGTATCAAATAAAACAATAATTTTTATAATAATATATTAAAACAAATTACCAAAAATATAATTAAACCCAAACTATTTAATAACTCTACCTTCATATTAACATCAACTATTATAAACTTATTAATTATAGTTATAGATTTATATATTTAAAGTAAATTTAATTTTATTAAATATATCTCCAAACTAATTTTAAATTATTTTAACTTCCTTTTATTTAATATTAAATATACACTAGTCCAAATTAGGTTATTCGGCTGCCGAATTATAGCCGATTAAATCCAAATTTATTAATAAAAGTTTATACC